CAAGATGCAAAAATAATTTGCATGGGTAGTGTATCTTGAACACCATTTTTTATGAATGCTGGGGACGCAGTATTAAAAGGATAGTCTCAAAATATATAGGTCTGGGAAATATTTAAAGCATACTGCGTCGCTATAAAATGAATTGCAATACTATTTTCACAATTTTATTGATATTTGGTGTCAAATACACATATCTTGGTATATTTGAAGTCCCAAAACGGCTTAGTTTCAGAAATATCCCAATTTTAAATTCAAAAATGACCGTTAGCTCCGCACCCTCCGCTCATTTGCGCCGCACCCAATATTTCCCACAGGCTCTGTCTGCATAGGGTGTTATTGAAAAAGAAAACTACACATAGGCCTTCATAATTTGGTCCTGATTACAATTTTAACACCATGATTGGAATTCCAATACTTTGTAACTATTTTGGATAATGTTATGCTTGAATGAAGTAACTGCATTCATATTTCTTTTATATCATAGTGATACATGCAATTACTTTTGTGTGATATTCACTTTCAGGTATGATCCACATTGGTCTTGGGGTATTCTTGTATGACTCAGCCCTCTTAGAGTGTATGTAAGCACATGCTACAGGAGACAGGATATGACCAGAGAGGCAATAATGAGTTTGACAAACGAGTCCATGGCAGAAGTGGAACTTACTGAGCACATTGACTTTATTTAATTTCCTCTGTCTATCTTTGGATTTATGGTATTTATGGCATTCATAATATAGACAATGGACACAGAACAAAAAGAACAACATCTGTTTTAATGACAATATCTCTCAGCTCAAGAGAATATGTTCTCTGTAAACACCATTCCTAAACACATGTAGCTATGTACAGGGTATCAATAAATCCATACATGTATTTACAAATACTTAATTATGAACTACAGAACACTTTATTCTTTTTCGGAATTTTGAAAAAGTGGTATGTAGTTACTGTATTCTGATAAAAATAAATCTATATTTTATGCATATTTTGTCATGTAAATGATTTTATTATACATGTCATGCCTCTAGCCTGCTTTAGCTAAAACAAATCAAAAAATTCCAGGGGGTTCACATTTGACCATTTTGGCCCAAAAATGACAAAAATCACTTGAAAAATGCTCAGAATGGTGAACATTTTTGGCCAGTGGATTCACTCAAACCCAACGAACAACTGGCTATGGGCCCTGCATGTACACAATGTAAATAGACATAACTATTGGTTGTCATAGCAACAGATTATTGGGACAATGCCTAGGCTCCACATCAATAACAATATTCATTTTTTTTAATAATAGTATTACATGATGAAACTTTCCAAAAGAATAATATTGATACTAAATGATCATGGAACTATAGCCAATTCGGGCAATTTAGACAATAAGGGACTGGACGTATTGGTTGGAAAGGGTATATTGACTATATGCATTAATTATGCTGTATTTTTACTTTAAAATAAACTTTATATTTTTCGGTGTCATTGTTGAAGAAATGAATGAAAATTTTAACATAATAAAGTATTAGTAGGAAAGAACTTTAAATTGCTGTTCAGTATGGTGATTTTCTCATTGAAATACAAAATATACTCGTCTATTTAAAAGTACACAAAATAATTCAGTTATGACGTCACAATCAATATGCAAATGAGCTAATTTGCATAAATGAAATTTTGAAAAATTGAGCTCTATTTTATCTTTAATATGATATAAATTTTATCAAAATCGAAGAAATATTGGGGGAGTTATGTGTAAAAAACACTTTCTTGTCATTATTTTTGTGGTTACTATGGAAACGAGCATTTGGGCACTTAAGGTCCACATTTCATAATTTTTAACAAGTGAATCTCAAAATTAGCACTATGAGCTTTCCAACGGTACCAAATTTATCCATAGCCCTATGTCATAAGTGTACATTTATAATTGCTTTCCTAGCACTTTTGGGCCATCATTTAGACTACCTACAATAGAAAGGGCAATTAACGGACATGTTAAGAGTGATTTTAGTGTTTTGGGGGTATGGTTTGATTTGGCTGTAGAAAAAAAATTAGCTCGGTGACCCCATATTTTTTTCGGGTTATTATTTTAACAATTGAACGAGGTTTGAATTAATGAAATATAAAAAAAAGTTATTGTTGGGAAATTACTTTTATTTAATGTTATTATAGGGGAGAAAATACATTATTTCTCCCATTGAAATACAATGAAAAGGTCAATTTAGGGGATATCTAAGAGTGATTTTTAGTGTTTTGGGTATGATTTTGTTTTGGCTGTAGAAAAAATTCGAGCACGGTGACCCTAATTTTTTTTGGTCTCATTTTTCTCAGAATTGAACAAAGTTTCACATATAAAAAAATAAAAAAAAGTTATTGTTGGCATCATTTACGCAACCACCCTCTTAATTGAATTGGATTGTCTTAAATTGGAACAACAGCCGTAGGAGCAATGTCCTGAATTTGGCCGACCTGTAAGTTCCAAACATTTCAAGAAATAATTGCTTGAATTTATTTAGCAGTGTAACACATTAAGACTTGACATCTAACATGAGCTTTTCTCAAAAATAAATTTTCTACATCAGGAGAACAATTTACCATAGTGCATGTTGATCACAAGACGATGCTTGGAAAACCAATTAACGGTGAAATTACCGGTGATGTACACTCCTCTCCATAAGTTTGGCAACTGGATGTCTCCATTGGGTATCTGTCTACGTGTTAAGTCTGTTTATGGTTGTATCTTAGGAGGACTTCAAGTTGCCAAACTTTTGGAGGGGAGTGTACATTACTTAGAAATAAGAAGGCATTGATTGAAACTGGTCTCCTTAGGTTGCCTCAGGTGAAATGCATTAAGGAAGAATTGCCGATAGTGACATTGATTCTCGTATTAAGTTCTGTTTTTTGAAAGCTTTGAGCGCTTTGAGTGATATACAACAATGAAAGATACTTTAATAATTATGTTTACAAATGGCACATCAATATTATTGACATGTTTGACTCGCCCAAAATATTTCATTCGTGTATCGATTATTGCACTCAACTATCTCTTGACGTTTGCATGGTTTATAGGGGTTTTTGCCAGTTTATTCATGAATGAAACTTCAGATAGTTTGCTCATATCTATATATATAAAGGCTGGACACTAAATAAATAATGTAATGGATGTTTTATCGTGTTTACTTTCTGTTTCATATGATTAACAGGGCTTTGTGCTGTTTTCATATGTTGCTCTTTGTGACTTTTCAATCTCATTATTCTATTCGACTCCAAGCAAGGAAAAGTATGACCACCTTGGACATTTCTGCAATATGGTTATAATAATACAAACTTGCGTGGATAGGTACATGTGAGCTTGGTTGCTAAGGTACTGAGAATTATATATCGAGTTTCTCTATACATAAATGCAGTTTTGATGATCACTAAGAAACAACTAATTTTAAGACTGAACCATTTTGGGTTTCTGAATATCAGTGCAATGTTTCATGGACAGTAAGAAATTCACAATGCATGTGGTAAATGGTCAAATCAAGCATACATGGCCAGTTATCAATGCATGGCTGGTATGTGATATTTATGCAAAGAGATACTGCACCGAAGTGTCTATATTACCAATGCACTGTGCATTACCAGAAATCAATGCATTAGACTAGGTCATTAATCAATGAATGAAATAGGCCACTAAACATATTTGTGTTCATGGGATCAATAGTAATTGTACTGTAATCGAATATTGGTTGAAATTTTGTCAGAGCATGTAGGAAGCGTATGAGCAGTTTCAAGAATATCAATTCAGCATATGTGAAAATTGCCTACACAAATTACCAATGATTTACCGTCTGATGTTGCATTTATAGTGACTTTATTGAACTGAAGGTTGCGCAAACACATCAATAAAGTAAGGAAAACGTCTGTTTAATGTAAGATTCTTGTAGCCTAGTTCACCGTGCTGTTTGCATTGGAAATAGATTATATCAAATAGGTTATAATACGGTCAATTTTATTTTCCGTCCTTAGTATAAATTCTAGGTAAGTGCATAGCTGTGTTGACATTTTTGAGATATATCATGGATAGTAAAATTTGTCTGAAGCAGACCCCCCATAACTAGGACAGGCTATGTTCACATTTAGAGGTGTTAACGTTTAAAGCAGATATGAAATGGTATTTCTAACCTAAAGGAATCAATATAATTTTTTGATAGATGTATTTGGTCATGTTTTCTCATCAGTAGTGTGAAAACTATTTCACTCTAACGATCGTTATAGCTGCTTAATAAGCAATATTCGAATTGGTTATGACGTTATTGGCCCCCACGTGATCTCTCACTGGTCCCCACGTGGCCCGTTTTGGTCCATTAGATCATGACGTCATAATGCCAAAATGTTTTGTTATTTGTTTACACAACAATCCTATGGTTGCCGTGACGTTGTGATTACTATGGAACCAATAAACCGAAGCTATATTTTGTATATGACGTTACTAATCACGTGGGGGCCAATTTGATTAATCAGTTAGTTTTATTTCGTTATCTATGACCGTTAGCAGTTATCTAACATTTATTTTATAATGGCTATCGCAAGAACTCTACGGTGGGCTTACAATGGAGAAAACCGCATTTTTGTAGCTGCAAGTTGAGAAAAGCTATTTCAGTTGTCCTTTAAAAGTGTTTAACATTAATTTTAGAGGTGTAAAGCATGATGTGGTTTTGGAGAAGGCTTGAGAAATAAAAAATTGACTTGAAAAAAGTGTTCATTTGATTATGAGGTGTTCATTTGAGCAAAGTGTTCACATACAAATTGTATGTGTTGGTTTCACTTCATTTTTCCCAGGAGGTCTTTCTCCTAACAGATGAATAAGCATAATGGATCTCTCCAATTATATACCTTATTAAGTGAGAGTTCCGGTTCAAATTATCAGTAGAATTGGCAACTTATTATTTAGTAAATATTTTTCTTTCACTTCACGTCATAGGGCCACTTAAAATGTTTTATGAAATAGATGCATTTCTCACCCTACTATGGTTCCGACACCCACATCTGTCTTAAATGCCACACCAACGACAGAAATAAATAACTCCGGTGCCGAGGACCCCGCAGCCATAAAGGTGGCGCCAGCAACATCCTCTGATAGCTTGAGTTCCTCAGATATCCCCTCCAGCGAAGGTACAAAAAAATCATCACAGACAATAGCTACGGCTGAAAAACACAAAACAATATTTTTAGGTTTTTATGAGATTTGACTCGTCTTTTTTCTCACAATTTGCACTTCACAATTGTATGATTTCATGTTTTCTAATTTTAAATAATTTCATTAGCTATGTTAAATAGTTTTACGGCATTTTATTCATTAAACAAGTTGATTTATTTGTTTATCTTGCATCCATTTGTAGATTGATGAACTACTAATGCTTCCACTGCTTTGGGCCAAAACCCAATTAAAGAAATACCACATGGTTGCACAATTACAAGTATTCCAAACAGACAGATGATACATCCTGTTTGAAACACATACTCTGTGAATAATCAGTTATCACAGATGCATGGTGTTCTTTATCCTAAGCATTGGTGCATAGCATGCTATGAGGCAGGCAAGGCAATCTCAGAATTTTCCCAAATTTTTTTAGCCTTTTTTAAACAAACTATATGTAAAGTATACAATAGATGTCCCCTAGCAAGGTACTGCAAAATACAGTAAAAATCCTAGTGAACACCTCTCTCCAGTGAACACCTGTGTCTAGTGAACATTTCTTCTCGGCACATACTCCACCAAGTTCTGTATAAAAATGCCTCTCTGTGGTGAACACCTACCTACAGTGAACACATTTTGTGGCTTCATAGGTGTTCACTATACACAAGTTTTACTGTAATCATGTTTTTGACAAAGTCATTACAAATGTATCGGGATCACTTATAAATGTTCAAATTTTCTAATAATAGTGCTATTTACTAGATAAAAAGTACCAGGTGCTGGTCATGATATCTGATTTAAAGGCAGTTTGATTATCTAATAAGTACTTTAATGTTTCTGCCAACACACAATGTCATATGACGTAGCTATTTCTAAATATAGTTTTAAACATATAGGTAAGTGGGTGTACATTTTCAGAGGTGATTATTCTTATAATATTATTATTAATGTGAATTCGATTTACAGGGGCTATATTGGGGTTGTTAGATTTCATTTCTACAATTACCAGTGGATAAAATATTCCATATATTACTCTTATCTTTACATGTAGCCTTTTCTTTGAGACATCTTTCAACACAATTGTACATTTTGCTAGAGTTCAAGTTTGATTGTGCAAAAGACTACTGAAGTTATGGCAACAGATTTATGACAGTCACATGTTGGATTGTGGCTATTTTCTGATCAATTGTCTGTCTTTCTGTCTGTCCATCAGTCTGTCTGTCCATCTATCAACGAATCGGTGGCTATTTTTGGCTTTTACTAAATCATTATTATCTTTTTTGTTACTTTTAGAATATGTCTATGTAAAGTCTTCTATTGCCCATGGTGTCTCAAAAGCTTGCCTTGTTTCAATAATAAGAACATAAATAGGGGATTGTAGACACACACTCCAATTACTTACTCTTCGTCTTATTAATAATTGAAATCTTGTAGGTATATCATAATATAATGATCAATAGAAACCTGTGTTATTTTTACCTGATATATTGAAAAGCGCATCATATGACGAATATGTTATATTTAGGGTATCATTATTGATGTGCTTACAGTTTGCCACGTCAGCAATTGAAGTTGTATTTTTTGGACATCAAATGTTATTGCAAAATCTTTGAATAACACTTTGTATTGTAGTAAAATCTTTGAATGATAAATTATGCTTGTTGTTAAAAAAACTGACAAATTTTATTTGTCATAAAAACTTTGATCAACTAATTGTACTTGATGTTAATTAGCTTTGAAAAACACAATTATCATTTGCAAGATTTCATTTGAACAGAATATTACCTTTTTTCCCTGTTACCATGGTGCTAACATATTTGTTGACTTGAACTTTACCTGTTACGATTATCAGAATAGAGAATTTTTGCCCTCAGATATTTCAAAGCATGATATGGTTTACAGTCATGTCAGTTTGTTCATAGCAGCTTCAATGTGTAAGTAATTGGTGATGAAGCTCCAAAGCCCTGTGATATTCCAGATCTTAGGCGAGGCTTTGGGGAACAAATGATATGCAGATACCAAGTAGTGAAGATAAGATATATCTACATCCTGATCTATACTTTCCAAGTCACTATTAATTAGAAAGGAATATGTATGAAATAGATTACAATCATATTTCATCAAAAACTTATTTCAGTTTTTTTGCATCCTGATCATGATCATTTTTATGAATCAAAATCATAGGGCCAAAAGGGAGGATACACAATATCATTATACATGTATCTAAATTCGTTATACAATTAATAATTAGTTGTGAGGACCAGAACAGGTTAGTTAATCCATAATTTGATTACTCATGAATTACTGTTAGTATGTAACATCATTAGTTGGGAGTCTTTTAACGTGTTGGTACTAATTAACTCTTATTACACAGTATATTTAAGAATTCAAACTCCAAACTAATGTTACCAGCTTTGAGGAGTGGTTACAGAAATTAAAGAAAAGGGTAGACCAAAAGTTTTGTACATTGGAGAAAAGAGAGAGCTGATAATCAGTGTGAGTGATGGTATTGATAAACTTGAAGTGATCTTCCTGTTGGGAAATGTTGAAAACTATTAATTTGTTTGTCTTCATTGGGGTCATCATGCATTCACATGTATTTCCTCCAGGATAAACCTCATACGTACCTCCTATGAGATAACTCTTAGTCATATTCTAGCTAGTTTGACTTGCTTAACTACTGTATGAGAATCTTTAAGACAAATGACTATAGTCTGCACAATATTCTTTTCTCAAAGGCTTGTTGTTGATTTTGGCATATTTGATTCAATCTTTCCAAATATTAATTTTATGAAGTTACAAATATGCATCATCACTCTGCTGTGATAGAGGAGCAATTCTGTCTTGCATGTGCGTTAATTTTTCAATCGCTACCCCAATCACGTTCAAGTCTTTAACTGACACTGATTCTCACCTTGGCCACTCTAAGGATAAATTATATCAATGAGCATGGATCAACAACACTTGAAGCCCTTGATTCAGGAGAACACCAATGAAACGCAGCATGATAACAGGATGAGAATGACCATCTTATCTCAAGAAGTTCAGCCATTAATGAACAGATTTAAGAGTCGGAAGAGTGGCAGGCATACAAAAATGAAGGAATGTATGTACAGTGAAACCTGTAAAGTGAACACCTCTATTAAGAACTGCATCTCTAGTGATCTGTCATTGGAACCAAGTCAAGTCAAGACCAACTGACTTAATGTTAAATGAGCCTGCATAAGTGGAACACCTTTTAAGTGAAACTCTTTTCAGGGGTACGAAAGGTGTCCCATTTAGACTGGTTCTACTGTATATCCATGAATCTACCTCATGATAACTGAACTATTATGGATTGTGCTTCTTCTTTTACAATCAACTGAGATGGCATAAATTTGATAAAATCTTGTATTGTGGTGACCAATTTCTGATCATATCCCTACAGGTCCGATGACTTTTTTGAATTCATCTAGCCTATGATATTTTTAAATTGCACAAATCATTAAAAGTTACAAGACTGAGTCTCATCTTGGGGGGTCCTAATGATAAGTTGTTCATGGTGATGCAACTATCCTGTAAGATTAAGATGTAAGACGCAATCAGAGAAATAATTAAACTAAGCCGTAAACGTCTTATTAATTAACTTCAATAGACCTCCATGCAGTTTGCCATTGCTAATAATCTTTATGGATTTCAATAATATTATTATCAATAGAAACTAGTCATCGAGAAAATGGTTTTGTTGGTCATGGCCATGTATCATTTGAAAAAGGCAAATGTTGAAGATTCAGTTTTTTTACCAAAATTGGAAATCTTTGAAAATTTACTGCCTTGGTATACGGCCATTTTTAATCGCAATTTGAAAAAATTATTATCGTTGTCTTACTGAAGGAAGCAAGTGTCCAAAGTAGCCATTTTTAGGCGTCTGACACTTTGATCAGCTCAGTGTCAATCAATTCTTAAATCAATTTTTTATTAATTCCGTTAGTGTTCAAAATAGCCAAATGTCCATCTTAATAAATTTTTGTCATCTAAATTTAATTTTGGTTTCTTGTTAGAAGATGAAGCCATTGAAGATATATTGAATGTTCTAGTTGGAATAGGATTGGTCAAGGATTGATGATACTTTAAATGATCTATGAGTTTGATCACATTTATGACGGGTGATTGGGTACTAGTCCAAGCATGAAATTATGACATGCAATCAAGCTGTAACTCATACGGATTTCCTTGTTTGACCCATGTGCATTATTCGCACATTACTACAAAGTTAAATGTAGTTGAATAATTTTAGGGAAATAGTTGAATTTCTTGATTGAATGCACAAATGAAATGATAAAATAGGTTAAAATGATTCACTTGGGTTTTATGAATTTACTCTTAAGATATTTTACTTTCCAATTTGAAAAACAACTTTTTGAAGATGAAAATTGTTCAAGGGAGTCTGTCTGTTCTGGTTTGTTGAATCAGAATCAGTCTCTGATTGAACTGCACTGATATATGTCAAGTATTGGCGATTTGATGAATACTGTTCATCTGGATTCCTCCGGGGAATTTTACATCAGTCATAACATATTTTGATTAGTTCAAGAGATCTCAGTTTGCAGAATATTGCATTCTCCAAAGATTGAGAAAGAAATCAAAGAAACATAAATAACCAAGATTTTGGTTTGATGAAACAGTTAGATCCCTAGTAGTACAACAACACACAGACAAGATATTTCACTTTCACCAGGCCATGTTCTAATTCATCCAGTTGAGATTTTGGAAAGCATTGGGCCTGGGATATTTTCACACAATCTAGGATATTTGTGATCTGAGCCAGAAATGTTTGGCTAATATGCTAGAACATGCAATTAGAGATGTTGGGGATTTGTTCTAAACTTACTCTACACTGAAATTGTCCTTTTTCTAACTGAATTTTTTTACATTTTGATCTTTCCCCTTTTGGTACTTGTTAGTTGTGTTCAGAAATTAAATGGAAATTTCCCCAAGTTAAAGAAAAAATTACAAGGGAAAATTTCAT